CTTTTTATTTGAAAAATAATATAATTGGTTAAAGTTACATTCACTGAGTATTTAACAAATGCCAGCTACCTTAACCAAGTTGCATATTCTTTAGTTGTCTGCAAATTCTTAATTCAACTATGTGTTAACTGTTATTTTATTGACTCTACAGAAATAAAATGCTTAGGCAGGCATCATTATTTTTATAATGTTTCAATTACAAAAAGTGGAAAACTAGCATTGAAACTAATCTGTCTGGCTACATTCTGAAGCAGAAATTCAGAAACCCCATGCCCCTTCACACTCATATATATGAAAGAATTTCCCCATTGTTGAGGGGTGAAATGTTCACTTTTGAATCACTTACAAATATTACTATTTTGTTCAGTTGTGGTAATTTCCCTTACTCCCAGCTTTAAAAACAAAACTACAAAAACGATGCAATTTAGTATACACTCTTGTTCTAATTATACCTGTAGTTGAATCCAGTGAACCACCAACTATACCACATTGACATTGGCTGTGTCAAACAGCTGATAAAACAGTAGAGCTAACAGGCAGATGCAGCACATGTTTTGTGTATTTTTGCCACAGGGATTTGTAAACAAAAGAAAATAATTCAAATAATTCTAGGAAAATGTTGATGCTCAAATTGGAGGCTTGGATTAACTAAAATATACATTTATTCCAATATTTCCCATTTTGTCATGCAGGTTTTTTGCAGAAAAATGAAAAAATGTTTTGTCATAAATGACAAGTAATATAGAAATATGAAGAAATAGATAATATGGAGGAAGTTACTAGTAAAATAAAACAGTCAGCTTCTCAGTGATACCCATTCAGTGTATTCCATAAGTTTGACAATCCTACATTTCCAAAACATCATTCACTTCATGATAATGCACAGAGAAGCTAATATTGATTATAAGCAAAACTTGGGGCCGGACTCCTAAGACATGAACCCTTGATGAACACAGTTAAACAAAATCCAAACCATAAAGACTAGGAAGAATTCTCTATCTAATTTTTGCTGCCATAATCGAATAGATTTCAAATGCCATTTATTATTTTTAAAATTATTTTCAAAGTGGAAATTTCTTTGTGATATTTAGTTTTCTCTGTCAAATAACACAGAAATTATTCTACATTAATGTAGATAATTAGTAGGATCAAACAATTGTGAAATCATAGAAGGATGAAAATGAACTTTAGACATTTTTTTGTAAATCTGTCAGCATTTAGGATTTTCTAAAATATTATGTGAAATAAATATAAATTTCTTATAAATTGTATGAATACTTCATCAACCCCTGTTATTTGACAAAAATAGCAACTATATGGTCCTAGACAATTTTTAAATAATGTCAGATATTTTTTGATGAGTTAAGGCATGAACTTAAGATAAAATTTTCAACAGGCATTGCAGAAAAGAATTATTACCATTGGGTAAACGAAAGTTTATGAATTTACTGATCATTGAATTATGTGTAGGTGTGTGTTTGTGTGTGTGTATGTGTGTCTGTGTGTGCGCGTGCACATGCACATGCATGTGCTGCCATGTACTGATATAGAGAGTTTTTCCCTGTCACAGCAATTATTACTAAAACACATAATTTAAAAAATAATTTTAAATGAAAGATACTCTTGAATGGATAGAAACTAACATTTGTAGATAATTATCCTATGCAATATTTATTGCAAAAGTTACTATTTAAATTAAATCTCATAGAAACTTGACATAAATAAAACTGATTTCAAGATAGGAAAGTTTATGCTCTAGAGATCACACACCACATAGATTAGCTAAAATTTGAACTGAGTTCATAATTAGGAAGCATGTTGCTTTGATTACAGCACCCTGGTAACCTAATTAAAAAACTGAAATTTACATGCGCAACAACATACATAGCATGAAATACTATAGTGTTTAATTTGAAAATTCCAGCATTTCAAATTTCAGTCTTTTAAGGTACTAGCTTATGGAATAGATTAAATTGGGTATGTATGAAGAAATATGATACACAAATTTGATGCTTTTAAAATTATTTCATCTAATAAACTAAATTATTGTATTTACAGATAATGACTTTTTATCTATAAAATTAAATTTAAGCTATTTAATGCAGTGCTAATGGAGTTTCTAGAGTGCCACCATCACTCCCCTACCCACATCTGAGAAAGATGACATCTTGGGGAAAAAACAATTTTTCTACTAATTATTGTAAACTTTTATTAGAATATAAAATGAAGCCAAATATATATGTAGTAGAGGAATAAGCATATAGAAACAGAATTGAGAGGCACTCATGAGAAGGGGTTTAAATCCTTGTACAATGGATGAAAGGGTCCAAAACTATACCTGCCCCACTCAGATGTGCTATGTAAGAGAGACAAAGTAAAGCTTTTAAGTATTGCCTGTGTAACTACCTGATTATTTATCTGTATCTGTAGTTTCCACACACTGATTATGTGAATTATCAATACAACTTTATAGGTGATTTATGAATTTTGTTTCACAGCATGGATGACTCACTTGTGCCATTTTTCTTATATATAAATGTTTTACCCTTCACTATGTTGACTTTTCAAAAGCAGTGTTTATTTTACAGACATCTTTGAGTTTTCAGAAAGCTCCATCATTACTCTTAAATAATATACCTCTTATTTATTTTACTAAATATTAGTTGGGTGAGGAAGTTAATGGACTCAAATATTATGTAGGATGTTCTTTTAAAAAATATTTCACAAAATAAACTCACAATGCCAAACATTTGAAATAAAGAAGACTTCTATAGCCAGACTATGGTTTATTTGTTTGCTTGATTTATATACCCAGCACATAGAATTAAGTTTTGTAATAAAACAATACACTCACATCTTTGCTTAATTTTCTTTTGTAAGTAATGTCTCAGGAGAAATGTGTTGGTAGTACTAACAGTGCTTGACTTTCCTTAAAGTGAAAGTATCATCTCAATTTTTAACGTATTGACAGTAGTGTATATGTAATCTGATTATATGAAAGAGAAACAAGAAATCAATTCATAAACCATATACACATATAGAAGAATTTGAATATATATGATTCTTAATTATTATTTTGAGAAGAGCATGGATAACATTAGGAAATATAGGATAGATAATTATTGAGCTATACTTATTTCTATGCTAAATTAATGCAAATATGGGTTCAATAAATATATTTTAAATTCCTATCTTTATTTCTCTATTGATTGTAAACACTATGCTATCAATTAGAAACATAACTGATTCTTTTTTTTCTTTTTATCTTTGTTTTGGAATATAAAACAAATGATACAAATGTTTTAAGTTTTAAAATCACCATCTCCTAAAAAGTAATATATTCAGAATATATTTTCTAAAGCATTTATGGTTAACTTTGTTGCATAGAAAAAAATATGTTTTGTTAATAAATAGAAACAGAAGGCCCAAGACTTATGATATATGCTTCTATAACCTCATAGTAAGGCATAGTATTTAAAGTAAAACATCTAAGTTAATATAGGTATGTCTATGAGTTAGAAAATATTATTTTTTAAGAGAAAAGATTTTACTGTGGTACCCATCTATGCTGGACACAAAGGATTCTCCTATTTCAGTCTCCTGACCAGCAGGCCTATGCCAGTACACCCAGTTAAATTATTAATTCTTCATAATCCATTGCTATGTCAAAATTTCTTCATAATGCTTGACATATATTTTTATACCTAACAAAAATGAAAAGTAATAACTCAAATATATGGAGGTGTATCCTAGTTTTGATGTTCAAAGCTATTTTCATTTTGGAAAACATTAGTTACAGTTGATACAATGAAAATCTGGAAAGTTTTCTAGGTATAAACATCAAGATGATTTATAGTTTACTGTAGATTTTTAACAGGCAAGAATAATTTAAAAAAATTCTTTTCAAGAATGTGTAATTAGGGCACTTAACTTTTAAAATATTCATTTTATCACTGGTTTTATTGCAGAAGCCGCCTTCACAATACTTACATGTCATGACCAATAAATGCTAACAGGACAAAGCAGAGGTCACAGAGGGTACTTATCATCTTGGTTTTCTTTTTCTGGGAATAATAGATATCATGTAAATGATACTCAAATCTGGGAAGAGAGGTTAAATTTTAGCATAAAATTAATATTTAATAGATATATTTTTCTGGTGATATTATTCCAGATCTAGAATCATGGTTTGTAACTAGTGAAGTTAAAATTTGATAAGTTAAAGATTGCAGAGAGAATATTGTTTCTTATTAAGAAAATATTGTGTATGCAATACCTTTCCCTGAAAAAGTTTTGTAAGGTCCATTTCTAGTTATACATAGTAGGGATCTTTGTGTCTTATGTATGAGTGTGAATGAGAAGTGTAAGTACATTTGAACTATGAATCATTGGTTAAATTCTGGGCCTCTTATATTTCTACCTGCAAGTCAGTCTGTTACACAGTGCAATATCAGGGGAATAAATCTATAAGTCACAGACAAAATTTCTGTCAATCACAAGTTTTGAAACCATACCTAAAAATTTTATATACATTGTATAGATTGTGCAACAAACCTTTCCTCCTGTTTTCCACCTTCATCTCTGACACAGTTAGATATTTTATACTTACATACATATCCGTTTTATTATTTATGAGGAAATAATGACAAATATATGAAATGATGTTGAGGAATGGAATATATATGATGTTAGAAAAAAATCATTCTTTTGAAATGTAAAAGTATTAAATATTAATAAAATGCCTTGTGGTTATTTTTCTTTACATTCCTGAAAGTTTCTAATAAATCACAACACTGATTTTCTTTTATTATTCTGCTGCAGTTGATTTTCCAAAAAAAGTCTTTAATAATTTCACATATATTTTTGTATTTGAAATTGCAATATGAACTTTGTGCTATTTTGTTATTCTTTGCTACTTATTTCATTTTATAATTAGTATTCTATGCTTTAAACAAGTTGGTGAATATTTAATTTCCAACTTTTCAGTGGTTTGATAAAACTTACATAACTATGATGTCTTTTTAAAGACATATCTAGACAGTCTTTGAATTCAAACATAATATTAATTTAAAATTCAATGTTTCACCAATTTTATTACTTTATATTCTTCATTGATACATCAGTCAATTATAGATTTTCAAATGCTTTAATTGTGCTTTGGTATATATGTTATGGGCATTCATAAAGTTACAGGAAGAGAGAATGGAGGAGAAATAAAAATCCTTACTCATTGCTGGTTGAAATGCAAAATAATACAGGCACTTTGAAAGAAAGTTTGTCAAATTTTTTAGAAAACTAAACAGTTTTACTGTAATATCAGCAATCCTACTCCTAAATAAATACCCAATGGGTTTGAAAGTGTGTATGCACATAAATACAGGCATGTGGATATTTATAGAAGCTCTGTTTATAATCACAAACAACCAGAACCAGCCAAGATGTTCTTCAATAGGCATATAGATAAAGGAAAGGCACATCCATACAAAGGGATAGTATTTAGAAATAAAAGGGATTAAGCTATTAAGTCACAGTAAAAAATGATGAATCTTAAATGTATATAGCTAAATGAAAAAAATAAGGCATAAAAGACTGTATGTTATATGATTTTATTTGTGTGATATTCTGGAAAATACAAAAATACAGAAATGGCAAAAGAGAGCAGTTGTAAAAGTTTGTTTTATTTTTGTTGTTGTTAATTTGTTGTTTATTTTATTTTATTTTATTTATTTTGATGGTATAGGAGGCTTTGAACATGTGAGACTCAGGGAAATTATAAGCTACTGGAAATATTTTAATATATGGTCCCTTTGTCTAATCCACTGAACTTTATTCTTCACTGCCTCATTGTGATTTAACTTCAACATATCAGGGAAAACATTAAATCTATGTTTATAGATTTAATGTTTTCCCCATAGATAAGCTATGGGGGTCAATCTAGGTACCCTTTAACAGAATAATGAATACAGAAAATGTGGTGTATATACACAATGGAGTATTACTTTGCCATAAAGAACATTATAACATTTGCTGGTAAAAGGATGGAACTAGAGCTATCATGGTAAGTGAAATAAGACAATGCCCCCTCATTAAATAAAAGGTCAAAATGGGAGATTCTAAGGCTTGCCAAAGAATATATGAATGCATGGCATTTTGTTATACCAGACATTAAGTACCAGATATTAAGGCAGCTCCAAAATCCATAGTAATGTCTAAGGAACTTAGGCACCAATCAAAAGGACTCTCAACAAATCAAATAATGTAGTGGTAGATAAAATAAGTATAAAAATAAAAATATAAAATAAATAACCATAAATCTATACTGATTAGATAAATTACAGGATAAATATAGAAGTGATAGAAAAATAGACCTAGTTCCAAAGATAAAGAATCCCAAATAATTTATGTAAATAATCCCTTCTCAAGGAGGTACACTCATATACATGAAAGAATTTCCCCATTGTTGAGGGGTGAAATGTTCACTTTTGAATCACTTACAAATATTACTATTTTGTTCAGTTGTGGTAATTTCCCTTACTCCCAGGTTTTAAAAACAAATCTACAAAAATAATGCAATTTAGTATACAATCTGGTTCCACTTATGCCTGTAATTGAATCCAGTGAACCACCAACTATACCACCTTGACATTGGCTGTGTCAAGCAGCTGATAAAACAGTAGAGCACTGCTGTTTAAAAGGTATGAACTGCACTTCTTTCAAAGAGTGTCATATGACCAGGGATAAAATTATAAATGTGTACCTTTACAGGTGATAAACAGCAGGACCTCAACCAGATGGTCGAGTTTAGCAGCACAATCTTAAGTCACACAGGTATTGGGTACTCCTGAGAATTTGATGAGAAGGACAGTTTTGCCTCTAATCTTCCTCCAGGAAACAGGTGGTAGAAACAGGTGCCAAACAGATAGAATCAGACCTCCCAAGTGAAGAATGTTTTATAAAATGCCTAACCAGCACTCCCCAAAATGCTCAAGTTCATGAAAACCAAAGAAGTGGTCACATCCAAGAGAATCCTAAATGACTAAATTCAGTGTGATAGCTTGCACAAACAGCTGAACAGAAAGTGAAGAACAAAGTAGAGCCTGACAGAAAGGGGATCTTTAGTTAATGATAAAGTGTAACTATCTGATCATTAATGGTGACAGTTATGCTGTATTAATGTATGATACTTAGAAAAAAAAGGAAAGCTGTACAGTGTCCATGGGAACTCTCTGTGCCACCTTGGTTAGATGTACTACATTAATAGATTTATTTGGACTTTCTTTAGATTTCAGAAGTTCATTTTAATTTTTTCAGAGCATATACTCATGCACAAACAATATCTAAGTATCTATTGATCTATCTAGAGAGATTATTTTATGGCATGCAGATTTCACAATGTTAATGAAAATATAATGCAAATTGTTTCCTTCAGTTTATCTTCAGTTTATGCAGAAGATATTATAGCTAGGTGAGAAAATAAAGATTAATTATCTTATGGTATTATGATTTAAATTATAAAATCAAGAGAAAATATTGTCTCATCAATATAGATATATATCTATGATGTAGTACTATTATTATGCATATTTGATTGAATGGATAAAACTTTTTCCACTACTCAAATGGAAATTTTAGTTTGAAGCCTGAATGAAAAAAATTTTCCTGAAATCATAAGTTTTTAACACACTAGAGATAATAAACATGTTTTGGATGTGCAATTTCTCTTGACAGCAAATTGGAATACTTAAGATTTTGTGCAAGCTAATTGCACCCTCATTTAGTTTAATGAACATTTTCAGTGGCAATATTATGATTCCTGTTTCTGTGGGAAGTAGCAGCTTGATACTTAGGAAGTGTTAAGTTGTTCTGTGCAAGACGTGGCTACTTTGGGAATTTCTGAAAAGTAATTAGCATAGTCTTTCATGGCCTGTTATTTCTTACAGAAATCTATTCTTTTATTGAGAACACAAAACTAATGCTAGGAATAATTAAGGAAGTTCTCCATATCGTCATCTCTGTTCTAGAGAAAATTGTTCTTGAATGTATCAGCCTTGATTATTTTTCTTTACTACAATGATTCCCTTTGGAAATGATCTTCAACTAGCTGTGAGACCACTTCAAGGGAAGAATAAAGGCAGAACTTCTTTTCTAAAACTGTTTAAATATTTTTTGTCACTTTGTTTTTAGATGTCTATTTGTAAGCACATCTGATACCATATAAGTGAATTATTATTAATAGGATATTCAAATATTTGTTTTACTCTCTCAGTTTGGACCCAATTGAGTGAAAGATGCATTCATTAAAATGTCATCAGGTATATTATTACAAGGATATTGGTTACCATGGCTTATACTTATTCCTAAAATAGTCTGGTCTGAAATAGGATAACAAGCCCCAAATTACCTGACACATCTGATATCTATACATCTTTCACCTGGGAGCCACTGGCCCTGTAAGGAACCAATGTGTAGCCCCTTCTTCTCCACATCGTGCAAATCATGAACTATGCATTCTCCTTCTATCACTGAGTTCAATGAATCATGGATCTATAACCATCCTTGTTCCACTAAATAATAAATATATCTGCTCTCCTCATCTGTAAATTCCCTATCAGTGGATTCAACCAATTATGGACAGAAAACATTTGAGAAATTATTAGCAATCATACTCAATATATGTGGACTAGTTTCTTGTCATTTTTCCCCAAACTATATTGACTGTTTGAAATAAGATTTCACTTTGCATTAGGCATTTTAAGCAATATAGAGATGATTCATAGTGTAATGTGAATAGCTTATATTCAAATACTATAGCACTTTAAGTAAGGGTACTTGAGCATCTGCAGATTTGATGTACAAGGGGTATCCTTGCATCAATGGCCCAACCAATACTGAGGGATAAATGAATATGTATCCTTTTCAAATGTATATTCAAACATACACCAGCAATAAAACCATAAAATAAACTAAATGCTTTTTATTTTTAAAAATGATGGACAGCAGTTATTAAATGGTAGAGGAGTTACAGTGGAAACATTGTCATCATATAGAAAGCTCGATGACATTAAACTCTTTATGTGGGGCTCTGAGTGTTAGATAAATCAAAAGCACATTGATTAGAAATTTGGAAATACATATAATTTTGATTGATAAAGGCCACATATGATGAATTTGATACACTGAACATTCTTATGTACTCATGCCAAGAGAATTTGCTCCAGTAGTTTTAGGAAAAGATGTCTCTTCCATACATAAACAGCAAAATCTGCACAGACCTTGTCACTTGTAAAGATTATTTACTTATATTTTTATATTAAAAGTAAAGAGATTTTTAGGGCAATAAAATATTTCTTTGCTTCCTTTAATTACCCACACTCAGTGACTCTTGAAAAGTATGTTCTTTATCTCACTACTTATAAATTGAAAATTCCTCATATCAGCATAATTTATGGTTTTATCAAGTCTAGTAAGGAATTAACAGATAGTTTGCTCATTGCCCTTTCTAATTTTTATTTTAATTGTATCTAATATTCCCCAGATCAATTTGCATCATAGATAAAAATAAAAGGAAAAATTTGTAGTGGAAAGAGATCTTTTGTTTGGATTTTACATAGAATTTTAAAATCATGGAATAGGTATAAAATTCATATTTGACTTCCTGGGGTCAAGTGAATGAGTACAGAAAAAAATACAAAAATTAATTACCAGGAAACTATGATGTCTAGATGTCCTATTGAAAAAACACAATATCAATAAGTAAGTAAGTAAGTAAATAAATAAATAAATAAGATATGTATATCTTTGTTTATTTCAAGCCATTATTGCAAACCATCAAGAAAGAAGAAGTTTGGTGAGATTTACATCTTTTTGAATTACTATAGTACATTCTATGACATAAAATTCACCATTTTATTTTGTGACAAAAGTTCTTGTTCCTAAAAGCAGAAAGCTATCAAAAAATTCTCTTGCAGAGTACAAAAGATTCACTTACAAATCAAAGTGAATATGAAAGAATGCAAATCACACCTCAAAGCATTACAAAATTAATACTTTCTACATAAAATAATCTTAATGTGATTGATAAGTACATTTTTGCTTAAGCTCCTTCACAGCTTGAAATGGAATACAAATTATTTTAAAAAACCCAAAGACATCTTTTTCCTAAGGCCTTAAATTTCTTCCAATTCTTTCAATGAATCGTGGTAGAATTAGCAGTTATAACATCATTCATGTTAAATGGTAAATTTTTTGATGTTACTTAGTGTAGATAACTTTTGCTGTTTCTAATTATATGATATTTGAAAGTATTAAAGTATAAACTTTATTTGTAAACTCAGCTACAACTTATCCATATAATCTGAAAAATAATGGTTCCATGACAATAGGGACATAATAAAAGCTAATATTTGTCTAGCAATGTTAATAATATTCACCTTATTGTACTATATTATTTTTTACAAATTGGTATTTAGTCACTAAAGTTTGTAAGAAAAGTATTTCTCTAATATCCCTATGGTTTTCAGGGGCTTTGCTTATCAACTGTATAAGAGATTTTGACATGGCATAAAGTCATATCCAAAGTTTTCTAATACACAAATATTCCAGTCTCCCAATCATGACTTATACTCTTCACACTTAAGTTTGACTAACACCATCATGTTATATATATTCCTTTGTGGTTAGTTACTTTTGCTGAAAAAAGTATTTTATTGCTACTGTAAACAATATTTTTAAAAATTCTATTTTTGATTATTGCTGCTATATAAAAATATAAATGAATTTTGTATCACGATCTCATATTCTGCAATTTTGGTGTTGTCAAATATTGGCACTATAAGAATTTTCATTTTACATCTCCATTTGTTTGTTTTTTAGACATTCCATGAATCTCTACATAGATGATTATATTTTTTGCAAATAATTATTTTTTGGAGGTAATGTTACATTTTGATCTATTTTTTGACAAGTTTTTCTTTCTAAACTGTCAGAACAATGTTAAATAGATATTGCCTTATTCCTGAGCTGAGATGGAAAATGCTTAGTCTTTTCACTATTCAGTGTGCTGTATGATATCCTTTGTCAGGCTGAGGAAGTTGCTTCTATTCCTACTTCGTGAGTAACTTTATTAGAAAAGCATGAGGAGCTATTAAAAATTAATTAAAAAATTACTGGAGACATGTGCTGGGATTAAGGTCATCATGAATTATAATAACAATGGAAAAATTTAGGACATGAAATTGAAACCAGTATATATGTAGTCTGATACCATATACTTAAAATATCTAAAATCATTAGACATTTACAATTCATACTCAAATTGAGATTAGACATAGTAAGTATAGATCATCTTCTCTCTACCTGAAATATGCAAAAAGATTAATTCAATTTAGTAAATATTTGTAACTATGCGAACAAAAATTATTTTCTTTCTTTGAAATGAGATGATTCTGATAATTGTTCTGTGAGAATAATTCTAATTTCTTAAAGTGTATTGAAAATTGATGGAATCTTTGTGCTCTTTCTTAATATTCTCAGAACACACAACCTTCTTTGCAAAGAAATTGGCTGTGATCACACACAGTTCATTCAGCTTCATACTATTCATAATCTATTTGTAAGTTTAGGGGAATATGGGATATCCTCCTGATGCAAGCAAAAGTTCTCTTTCCGAGATTAAGATTTTTGTCTTGCTATGCTGTATGCCATATACTTAACAGTATTCTATAGTACATTCATTTTTTCCAACTTTCTTAAGGTATATTTAACAATTTAAAAATGTGTGTATTTAAATACTTATAAATATAATAAATATAATATAAATATAAATATAATGAATATATTAATTTGCTTGATTGTAATCACTACAATCAAGCAAATTAATATATTCATTACTTCACATAGTTACCATTTTCTTTTTTTGTTTTGAGTGTGGTTACAACACTCAAACTCTACCCCCTTTGCAAAGTGTACTACAGTATTGTTAAGTAGTCATATTATCACACATCTCCAGAACTCATTCATTCTGTGTAACTGAAACTTTGTGCCCCTTGATCAACATCTCCCAATTTTCCCCACACTCAGCCACTGGTAAAAAGCATTCTGTTTTTAGTTTCCTCCTTGACATCACAATCCCCATATAGTCAAATCCTTTAAGGCATAATATTTGCATGCAACCCATAAACATCCTGTTATATGCTTTAACTCATCTCTAGACTACTTATAATAATTAGGACAATGCTTAGTAAATGCTGTGAGAATAGTTGTTGAACTGTACCATTTAGGGAATAATGGCTACACATGTTCTGTACAGAAATAACTTATTTTTCTGAATATCTTCTAGTTATACTTGATTTATTGCAGATATGGAGGGTAGACTGCATACATGTGATACATTATATAACAATAATTTCTTAGGTAGTATTCTCTGTGAATCCTTAAATATCTCTGGGTGAGAAAAATGCTTTATTTTGCTGTTGTATTAGTTGATTTTTGAATTTTCAATCAAAATCATTGTTTTTTACCAGACTTCTGTGTTCTTGTAGCTACTCTAGTCATGAGAGTCTCTAGTGTCAGTTTTTCTGTTTCTTTTTGCAAGCTTTTGTGCGCTTTATTTCCCTTTCTTTTTGAAATTCAGGGATTGCATTGAACTCTTTTTCCTTCAGCTTGCTGAGCTCTGTATGGACCGTTTCAGGGTGAGGCTTCCGATTTTTCTTGCATTTTGTTGCATATGTGTGTGAGTATGTGAAGGTGTGCATGTATATATAATTTCTCTGTGTATTTCCTTCTCTTATTTCTGTTTTTGAATAGTAATTACTTATTTGTTAGAAATTGTATACATTAGCTGTTCCTATTAACATTTATTTTTAGGGTATCACTCATCAGATTGTCTTTTTTTGCTGTATCTTGTTAGAACTTTTAGCTTCATTGTTCCTCTCACGAATGTCCTCTGTAATTATACCATTTCAGACACTTAGCCCATCCGAGTTTCTGTATTATATCAATCTTGAGTATAAAATTCATTCTGTGTTATAAATACAATATCTCTATGTAACATGGATTTAGACTATCAGATTCTTTGTCTTGTGAATTTGAGGTGTAAAATCCACGGGGATGGCCAGTCAGGTTCTTCAAGGTTTGAGTTTAAGAAGCCAATCAGAAGTATGTGATTTTAACATCTTATTTACACAATTAAGAAGATGAATCTCGCCTGGTGGTTTTTGACACGTCCTTTAGAGAGAGGATGCATTTTGGGTAAGAGTCTTCTTGTGGTTGGGCATTGCTAGAGCAAGGGTAACTAAGGAAGGGCTGTTGTGGTTGCAGGAACACAAACAGGTGTTTTGAGGAACACAAACAGGCATGCTAGGTCAGAAGAAGGCCTTGTGCTTAACACCAGCAGGGAGTAGGGAATCTCAAGGTGTATTTGAGACCCATAGTGTCCTTTCAGGTTGGCCTGATGTCCTCCTCCCCTCCTGTCCTTCTCCAAGGCTTTATCCTGGCTGTCTGTGGAAGACCTATTTTTCTGCCTCATTGACAGAAACTGACAACTTCTTTCTTATTGGCGTGATACACAATGGGATGTGGAAGAAGTTTGTGCACTGGGACTTTCCTCCTTCTAATTGTTGCCAGCCACTAATCATCTTATTCCATCTCTCCTATCCTGCAGCCATCATAGACACTGTTCCAAGACAATCCGACTATTGCATCTGCTGATGGACACAGCAAGGCAGAGGACAAAGCTAAGCATACTTTGCAGCTCCTATTGAAGGTTTCTGAAGAAGGCACTGGGCTCCTCCTGCTCCCCCTTTCCTGCCTGCTCTGCTTGGGAAAGTTCTTCAAAACCTAATCCCTTTTGCTGTCGGATTTCTACAAATATCCTCGACTGTTATTTTCTTGCTCCAAGAAATACTATATGTTTTCTGCATTTAAAGATCTTTGTGAATTTCCCCGTCTCCCTCTCTCTAAGATCCTGCTTTTGTTTCTTCCTCTCTGCATTGTTAATTTGGGACATCTGTCAGAAACAGGGTTGTCATTTAACATCTCTATTTTGTTGTCCTCATTTCTTCAATCCTTCTACTTCCAAAATATGGGTTTTCATGCACTTCATATGATTTATTATATTTGCTTATTTTTTTCTTTAGGAGCAAACAACTGCAGTTGGCTGTGTCAATTGTGAAACTCATTTTTGAAACTTTGATGGCTAAAAATGGTAATGAGCTTCTCTTCTTATTGGTGTATTAAAAATAAACACCTTTGGAAAAATTACACAATTTTTCTAAATGTATTCATAAATGTATAGCATATTTCCTTACAAACCATAGATATAATATGTTATAAATAATGCCAAAGCATTATTTACTGGCCTTCTGCAACAGAAATTATCATTTGGTTCCGTGATGGTGGGTTCATTTTGAGTCTCACTGATTCCAGGAGCAAATGAACTTTTGTGATAGATAGCCTCAAGCTGCTGTGCAGTTAAGAGCTTGTATTTCATTAATTGAATTCTTCTGGGCATGATGTTACTCTATATACTCCCTCCAAGACATCAAGCCTTTAATTAGTTACTTACCCACAAACACATATTTAACATTATAAACTGGGATCCCTTTTTGCCAACACCAGATAGAGTTGTTTCAACTGTGAACTCTCACTAGTAGAAGATTTTCCACACTAATTCTTCTGAGCCAGAATCAAACAGCTGGAAAACATGTGCAGTGTCTTTTACTCTGAAATGTGAGTAGGTCTAGCATAAAACTCATGCCATTATCTTCACAAGCATGATCAGAGTTTACCTTTAATAGGATTGCTCTAATTTATTTTCTCGTTTGCTTCTCACAGCATGCCAGTATCCATGAGATGCTGAGTTCAGTATGAATTTAAAAATGAAATAAAAGCTCCCTTTACTATCTTAGAGAAGAGGAGACGTTCTCTAAATGTCAAACATCATCTCTAAATTGACTGTAATCCGGAAATATGTCTTTTTCTTTCCTTTCTTCTTTCTGTCCTCATCACATTATTTCAAGACTGTTTACTATGGAAGCAAACTTGCTTTGCTGAATACATGAAGTAAAATGTGAAAACATCAATGAAATGATTTAATTATGGAAAAATATATATACACAACTCTTGTTAACACACTATATGCCAAATTCCCAGACTATGGTCACTTGCATAGAGTGTTAGGAAGGTGTATTTTAAATTATACCATAGAACCTAACACATGGGGAGGATAGAAACAAGAACTTTAGGATAGCACTTTACAAAGTGGAGGAAGAGGGCAAAATTCATTAATGCTTAATAATGTCCAAGGATATGGGGTAGCCTGTGGAGTGACAGCTGTAGAGAAATGGAAATTACAATAGAAATGGCAAACCCCTAGTTTCCCCCTTTTATTGTGGCACAGCCTATCAATATCCAACTTTACTTTCATTGCCACTGTCAGAATCACATGATATTATTGCTTTCTGCTAGATGTCAATCTAGAAATATAAGGATAAACTACATTTCAATTAATTAATATGGCACATATCAAATGAGCACAAGCATCATGAAACAACATTTGCTAGTCGTTTCTACCTATATACAGTTCATGGTTTTTTAATGAATTTAATATACATTTGATGCATAAGCCTTCATAAAGGGTTGACATTTACCATACTTAAAGTTCAGGATAATATTCCCACTGGTATTAAGTAGGGCTGACTGGGTAGATAATGGTCTGAGTGTGAGCACATTGTGTTGTCATTCTTCCAATTATTATTTGAACACATAACTTTTTGCATGATCACAAAATCCTTTACAGGTATTTTTACTTACCTTCCATATGTACTAAATTAATTTTAATTTCCTAATTTATATGTCCATTACTTGTGGACTTCTTTCTATTCTTCTTAAATCATAGCAGAAATTCTAGTTTGAGTCATTTTTTAAAAGTAGCGCAGAAAAGTAACATCACATTTTTCAGTTGAGGAATTCAACAATTAATACTTGCAAGTCTTTTAAGCAAAACATTCATAAGGTTATTTATTTTTTAAACATAGCAAATACATTTTTAATTCTTTGATGAGATAATTTAATTTTTGCAACTCCATCCCCTCAAGAATTTAAGCTTCCAAACTGATTGTTCTGGTTCTGTTTAATTTAATGAAAGACCCTTTATCCAACTGTCAAGGGATCCCTGAAGAGTTCGTTTCACTTCATATTTCCCTAACAAAGCTCTTAAGTACTCAAACAGGAACATATAAACTGATTCCAGCAGTTATAAGTCCCTATTTCCATTTAACTTACTGATAACTTCTGAGGAGGTTGAGTGAGCTAATGGAAAGTTAAATAGTCCGAAATAAGCAAACATGGGAGCTAAATGATCAGGTTATTCTTTGGCTCCCCTACTCTGGGCTTCCTACAGGAACAAAATGCATTACCAGAATGTTCAGTGGGGGTTAAGTTGTGTTTCTAGATTTTCAAACTGGAAAAATACTACCCACCAAACTAAACTAATTCCTTTGAAACTACTGCAAAAAATATATACATATTAAAATATTAAGATATTTATTCTAAGTAATAAATGTCATACAATATACAATACTATATTATACATAGTATGTCATCTATAACATGAGATCTTAATTGTAAATGGGCTTGCCTCGTAGTGACAGCTCTTTTGAAAATCTGCAGTGAGTCAACACAAATTTTAGGAAATGTTTAAAAGGAGTAAAAAGAGAGTGTAAAGTCATTTTAATACCTTTCTCTCTTTTATTTATTGAATAAAAGTGCTAGTGATTAAGGGATTTCAGAGTGTATTCAGAGAACTGGGCAAAAAGTACAAGAAAGATTTTCCTTATGATAAACTATTGGTGATATTTAAAATGTTTTATTTTATCAGTCAAGTTTCGCATTCTTTCAGAAGGGCTGTTTTGGAAGGGAAACATGCAACAGGATCGATCGTCCAAAGCCTTTGTTGTTGTTGTTGTTGTTTAATATAAACAAAATGAAACAACATAAGGAAGACTTATCTGAATGGCCACCAATCAATCATGTTAGAACATCTGGAAATAAGAAGCATGAAGGCTGATCATTAAGTCTGAAACCCAGGCAATATTATTTATCTGTACTGTAATGTGCATAAGTGTGCATTGTGTGCTGATAAGACTGCTGATTATGATTATGAATATTCATTTGTTTCAATATTTTTGTTACCTGTAATGTCAAAATCAGATGATGGATATATTTTTTATCTGTAAAATTAAATAACAATTTTTTATTATTAGTTTTACTACTTGACTCCTTATATTTCACGATCATTTGAGAATTATTGGGAAAAAAGTAGAAGAGAAAGAGCCAGAAATTTTAATATTTACTGGGCAGTACTACTTTAATAATTCATAATAAGAGTTCTATATCTGGTGACAAAAGGAAGACAGACTGTAGTGGAGTTAAGTAAATAGAATCTACAAATGGGATTCCCTTTGGCACACATGTGGTGAATATACCAAATCAGTTTTATAAATTTAACTCTGAGATGTTGTTAACATTTAACATCCATTCATATATGTGTGAAATATATTGGAATAATTAGGTAAAAGAGGCAATATTTATTGAGAAGATATCTAATATGTAAAATATATAATCGTATATAATATTTGTATGTATATGTGTACATATATGTATGTATATGTGTATATATAATATATATGTGTATGTATACATAAATATATATAATTATATATATATGACTTTACCTAGTTAGTATATTGTGTTAGTATGTTGTGACATAGTTGTTAGTATGTTGTGACAACTCAGTCCATGAATCATTCATTCTGAATCATCTAATCATCTTTAATTCTGTAAGATGCCCTATATTGGTTTTAATTTTTGCAAGCGATACATTGTTAGTAAGTAGAGTTTTCAAAATTTCTAGCATAATTAAGTCTGTGCCTGAGAAAAATGAGAAGTATCTATCACATTTATAATACTAGCAAAAATGACATTTTCTCAGATATTTTTTTTGTAAATATATTATAGTTCCAGGTTTTATGAAGCTCAAATCTTCTACAATTTGTGATGGCAATAAACTATGCAAAATATTCTAAATATCACATACTTTGAAAAATTGTGCTAGAGAGATGTAATATGAACACATTACAAGCCTTACTAGAGTCTTGGAAAATTCCCATTTCGAATTTATTTTACACAGTTTATATTTTAACAACATATGCTCAATAATTCATATTCTGATTATTCCCCAATTGTTTATAAGTTTAGATATTTATTCTCTTTAATAAAAGATTAGAAAAAATTTTTCATGGATTTTATTTCAAAAGAATATATTAAAGTAGACAATGATTAACAGTGTAAAATATTTCAAAAGTGTAGAAGAAAGTGTTTCTTTGAAAAGCCTAAAAGGCATCCATTTTTACCTAAGATTATGAATGATGTTTTTATATTTTTGTTTTATTTTTTTTTCTTTACTCTCCCACATTTTCAGGAACTTAATGGTACTTTTTAACACTAAATGTGGTTTAGCAAATAGCCTCTTTTTATTCAAAGATTGAATTACAACTCTGCAATTAGAGTTAGCATAGATTGTCTTACTCCAGGTAAGTTGTTTGACAAAAAAAATTTTAAAAATCCTCAAATCACATAAAATTGACATATTATAGTGACACCACCACATCAATGTTTATAGCAGCTCAATTTACAATATCCAAGCTTTTTAAGCAATTGGGGTACTTTACAACGAGATGAATGGATAAAGAAAATGTGGAATATATATACAATGGAATATTACTCAGCTATAAAGAAGAATGAAACTTTGACATTTGCTGATAAATGGATGGAACTGGAGAATATTATCCTGAGTGAAATAAGCCTGTCCCCAAAGGCTGAATGTTCTCTCTGATATGTGGATGCCAATCTCCAAAAAAAAAGGGTAGGGAGAATAGAAGTTAATTAGATTGGACAGAAAGGAATGAAGGGAAGGGGATAGGAATAGGAAATACAGTAGAATTAATTGGACATAACTTTTCTTTGCTAATAAATGAATACACAACCATGTATTTATGTGTGTATAATATGTCAAAATACATTATCCTGTCACGTATAGCTAAAAAGAGCAAATAAAAAATTTTAACAAGTCTTAATTCTCAATAATAAGAAAATAACCAAATATATAAAATATGATTGGAAACATCACCGAATAATATGTACATACTAGGGAATGAAATGAACCAAATTATATTGTTCAATTGTGTGCATGCATGAATGTGTAACAACCATCCATATAACATATAATTTATAAGGAAAGTAATAAATATTATTATATTATATAACAACCATATAATAATAATGAACCAATAGAAAATGAATATATAAAAATAGAAAAAAAATCAGCAAGATCTGTAGTCCTTGAAAAAAAAAGTGAAGAAATAGCATCAAATCATTCACATTGAGTCCCTGTTTCAGCGGAATAAACATCTAAATCCAACAGGTGCAAATTCTGTATCACCAAGAATATCCACAGCAATCCAGTGTGGAGACCACCTGAAATCCACTTGATATCTTATATTTCATGGGTAAGGGAAATTGATTGGTTTCACAAACTTTATCAATGCAACATATGGAGTTGATTCTTACCAATGAAATGGAAATAGTGGGGAAAGAAACACATACGGGTAGTATTTACAAACAAGTAAAGAAATTGGGTAAAGAATATCTCCATAAAAATAATGAATTTATAAGGAAAGTAAAAAAATGTTAATCTAATACATTAAAATACATGAGGTCATAAAAAGGACAGCATGGATAGTGGAAGGAGACTCTCATCATTATACAAAATACATGTATAAAGATATGAATTTTGTGTCAACATACCTTATATAAAAACAGAGATATGATAATTGTGGTATAAAGGTGTATTAAGAATTGTAATGCAAAAAAATAATAATAAGAGAGCTCATGTATAATGGCATAATTTGGCGTGAACATACTTTATATAGTTATGAAAAATTGTGCTGTGAATGGATAATTATGAATGTAATGCATTCCACTATTGTCATGTATGTAAGAAATTTTAAAAATAAATTAAAAAAATAAATGATATTAAACCAAGGAAGTTTTATGGTTATTTTTTTTTTGAGAATTTTAATATTTATTTTTTCTTAGTTCTCGGTGGACACAACATCTTTGTTGGTATGTGGTGCTGAGGATCGAACCTGGGCTGCATGCCAGGCGAGCGCGCTACCACTTGAGCCACATCCCTAGCCCTTATGGTTATTTTTTTAAAAATCTATTAAAATTTCAGTGGAAGAGAAAGACCTATAGAGAAAACTATTTTGGACAAGAAAAAATTCCATTAAAAATAAGTGGCATCCATGAGAATTTTAGTAATTTATTATGAATGCAGTGAGTGTGGGCAAAAGTCTAAAACAATTTTCTCAATAATAACTGTTACTAAAATACATATGTCAGAGAGTTCCATAATTTGATTTTCTTATACAACCCAAATTGAAAATAATTTTGAAACTCTAACAATGTTTACAAAACATAGCTATCCATACAAGTAAAATATTTGAGGGGTACAGTTTTTTATGTACTATATTAAAATGATAACTATTTTAAACCTCTAAGACTGCTCCTGATTCCAAATATTTTCCATATTTATTAATATAGAACTATATCTACCAGAAAATATTTCCATGTACAGGTAGATAGATATAGATAAATATGCCTATGCCATATATATGAATGAATTGGGAAAAATAATTGTACAAGTTCACTTGAAGATTTCTTATCTCCATAGCATTCCAAGTGCATTTTGAAATCTTCTTTCCATTGCATGTCAATAAGTCTTAAAATGTTTATGATTTGGTAAATACAGTGTCCCATTCATGAGTGCAAAGTACTTCAGAAAAATGGAAACTATAAACAATCACCCAGAGACTAAAGGTAAATAGAAATTAATTAGTAAAGATTGCAATAAATAATATTTAATTATAGCATACAACAAATTTTGAAACAGCACTTTAGCCACTATATAGGAGAGGGGGACCGCAAACACAAAATGTGATTCAGATACTGAGAATGGTGACACCCCATACACATTAAGAGAGTGTGGAGCTCTATTTTGTAAATACTTGAGGTCTCCAGAGAGCAAGTTCAGAAGACTGGCTCAGGAGTTTTACTATGGTTAGGGGTAGAGCCAAGGTGACAGATACCCCACAGAGGCAGAGGCTGGTATGATTGGAATCTCCCCCTGGTGCCAGAGAAGAGAGTACCCAGCATTTGTATAGGTTTGCCCAGGCTGTGGATAGAAGGGGAGAGGAAGGAGGCAGAGGTACAGTTTAATAGTGGTGGGCAGTCTATACCAAACAAGAGTGTCAGAATCCTTATTACAGACAAGTATTTCAGGGAAGTCTGAAGCAAAAACTGGGGGCAACTGATGTGATTATTAATTTGGCTGCTAATTGTTGTGATTTTCTGATTCCACAAATAATGTAAAGGATATTGCCTATAAGTCTTATGTTCATGCTTAGTCATTTTCTGGGATTAAAATCTAAGATATTGCTCCATGAGACTGACAAGTAAAGAAAAGTAGAAAATACATATATATATATATATATATATATATATATATATATACATATATATATATATATATTTATATTTTTTATATATGTATATTTTTTTTTTGGAGACTGCTGCTCCTTGAAGCAATTCGCTTATTTCTAACCTCAAAGCCTAAAAACTAAATGGTCAGGTCTTGAATGTATCTTCTTCCACCCAAAGCAAAGAAGCAGACACATTTTGATATGCAGCTCAACTGCCAAAGGAGCTGAGGGAAACAAAGAACAAGCAGGCAAGTCCCTGTATCATGCTGCACAGAGAACTTGTATGCCAGGATACAGAGAACAGACAGAAAGCTATTCAATTTCTATCAGAAACGTGTTCTACGTGGATTAATAATGAAGTGTGAGGAGTAGTTTCTATCATTCAGCAAAAAATAAGAGGATCTTTATTACTTTACACCAGGAGGATTTATTTTTAAAAAGCTCAAAAAATAAACAACAACTAAAAACAACAAATCAGGAAGTGGGTATGTCAAACAAAAATTTTACATGTTGGAACAGAGGACACCTTATTTTACAATTAACGAACAATATCACAATCAGAATTGGAATTTGCTGAATTGGAATTTGCAGGAATTATCTATAACACCAAAGATATTATAATCCATAATATGTCAATGATTCCAAGAACTAATGAAGAGAATATTAAATAACACCCAGGACATTGAGCACTGGAAATGATTGACGTTGAATGGAAAAGTAATTCAGAGGGACATTTTTGATGTAATGGAGTATGAATTATTGATTCTCTTTGTATTGTGCCTGTGGTGTGCTATATAAAATGTCTTTGCCAAATTTAAGATCACTTAGTGTTCTTATATGTTATCTTCTAAGTGTTTTATTGCTTTGAGATTTCATTTTAGTGTTTTGGATACATTTTGTGTTAAATTTTGCAAAATGTTTTAAAATTTATAAAAACCTTCTTTTTTTGTTTGTTGTTTTATACGTGAATGCCCAGTAGTTCCAACAGCATTTTGAAATTACATAGAAAATTATAAATATTACATAAACTTTTTTGTAAGCCAGTGCCATATTTTGAAAGGATTGACTTCAGTTTTTACTCTGGTAAAATGCTGTGAAACTTACATGCTACAAAGAAATATTTTTGAACTTTTATTATATTTTATTATCACTGTATAATTATCCACAAGAGTGGGGTTCATTGTGACATATTTATACATGCAAATGGCATAGCTTGCTTACTTTTATTCCCCAAAACTTTCTTACCCATATCTTTTCCCCTCCACATCCTTTTCCTATACTATATTATATTCCTATTTTATTACATCCCCTTTTTAATTCCTTTTTTGTCTGTCTTTTCATATGAAAGAAAACATTCAACCCCGTTTTTCTGAATCTATCTTAATTCAAATTAGCCTGAGGTTTTCCAGTTCCACCCATTTACCCGCAAATGACATAATTTCTTCTTTATGAGTATGTAGAATTCCATTGCATAAATATAAATTTTATTTGTCCATTCATCTGTTGACCAGCACCAAGACTGGTTCCATAACTTGGGTTTTGTGAATTTTGCTGCGATAAGCATTTGAGTGCATGTTTCACTATAGTATGCTGATTTTAGAGGATTTTCCAAAATATTGAAGAATTCAGTTTCACACACATATGTACAAATGTGCGTGCACACAGACACATGCACACACACACTAGCATAAGCCTATCAATAAATGGGAAAAATAAACAGACATTTCACCAAAAAATGCAAATGACCAAGGAATATATGGAAAAAAAAGTTCAACATCCTTAGCAATCTGTGAAATGCAAATCAAAACTATGTTGATATATCATTCCACCTAAATTGAATGACAACCATCAAGATCATAAATGATAATAAACTATGGTGAGGGTCTGGGCAGGAATGGATTCACTACACGATTCAGTTAATTCACTCCTTTGTACTTATCCAAAAGATAAATAAAGATAGAAAATCTTCCCTGGGTAAAAGAGGCAATTGATGAAGCAAATTTCACTGCTGTTGCTGTTCATTATTAAGAAATCGCCACAGTGACCTCAATCCTTAGAAACTACCACCCTGATCGATATTTAGCCATTAACACTGAGTCAAAGCCTCAGCAAAAAGATTATGATTTGTTGAAGGCTTGATTATATATTATAACCATCCTTTTTAGCAATGAACTACTTTTTAAACTAGGGTATTTAATGATTCATTTTAGCTGTCAACTTGATTAGCTGGGGAAATACCTGAGAATTGATAAAGTGCACTTCTGAATGTGTCTGTGAGTGTGTTTCCAGAGAGGATGCCTGTGTGTCAGTGAGCTGAGTGAGGAAACCCTCACTGAAAGTAAATATAACCGTCCAATACACTGCACAGAGGCCTAGA